ATGCTCTACGTATGAACAATTTCTAAATTTCTAAAACGAGGCAAGCTGTTGACAAACAAGTTGATGAAACAAGAATATCAACAGTCTCGTTTAAATTCATCATTTCGTAAGTTTTATGTTCGATGCAGTGACCTTGTCAGCAAATACAGCCTATCATTAAGTCAAATGCTGACTGACGTTTTTGATACTAATTGTTAGGCCATTATTTAAACATCGAATTGTCTACGGATTTTTCCGTTTTCCCAATCATGACAAGGAACACAAGGCAGGTGTGACCGGTCGGTAGGGGATGCTTATTCCTCCATGGCACCTTATCCCACCTTTGATGTTTTTAGAGGTCCGTGTCTGCTCTGCTCCTGATTTGTATTTTTTTTTATGGAAGTGCATGGTCAAGTGGTGGCGTCTCAATATGAGTGAAAGATTCTCAAAAGGGACGTTAAACAAACTTTTCTTAATTATCTCCCCTTAGAAGAGGGTCTGGCCCTTCATTTGAAAAAACTTGAATCCCCTTTATCAAAGGATACTTTGTGCCAAGTTTGGTTGAAATTGGTTGAGTGGTTCTGGAGACGAAGATGAAAATGTGAAAAGTTTGCGACCACAACGCCGACAACAGACAACGGACAAATTTCGATCAGATCTAGAAAAGCTCACTTGAGCTGAAAAGACTCTGACTGGGCTAACAATATGTATATCACAGAATTAGAAACAAAGTTAATAATGTGATAAAGCATACGAAGATAAATTACATTGATAATATTGATGTACAAATGAATGATACAAATAAAAATAAGTTAAATTGATGCAAAGCATCAAATAGGCCGCAAAAATATATTTAGCATTTTAAATTATTTCCACAAGAAAGAGTCCAAAGAAAAGAAATCAAAAAAGTATACGATACATTGTTATTGTAAATTGTACAATTGCAATACTCTTTCTGTGCATTTTTAAAAATATACTTTAATTTTCAGTGATCAATTGTTAAAAATTTATTTAATCAAAATAAATAAATTCATGGAAATGAAAATCGGACTGCTCACGATTAAAAGGATAGGAATTGATTTATTATCATCAAATTATTAACATTTGATTCAAAGACAAATGCAACAAAAATCTAAACTTATTAATTATGAAATTCAGAATGTCTGAATGCTGACTAAAAAAGACGTACAAACTTCAAAGGCTGATACTTGATCTTTGTCACGTGATATGTTTCACAATAAATGTGAAGTGCAGAAAAAAAATTCATTTGCAACTATTGTGTATTCAAAACAAAATTCACTTCTTAAAACTTTTACAATTTATCAATTATTTTAGGCACTCTAATTCGTATCCGGAAACTTAATACGTTTTCTTTTTATATGTTATGCCCGCCCATGTTGGAGAGTAGGTCATATAACAGCTTTTAATTTATTTATTTATTTATTTATTTTTTTTTTATAAAATCGTAAATCAATAAATATAAGATGAGAAATGAAAAACAAATTGTAACGTACTAATAACCATTTAGACTTGTTATGGACAAATTTTTAAAACTTTTATTCATAACTTTTATGTTTATTATCAATGAGGAATTATTCATCGAAGCACAGGTACTTGGGTCTTGGTTTATAAATATGTATATATAACCTTATTGATATGTAAAAAAAAAGTATTTTCAAAGAACAAACCATGTAAACAAGCGAGTTGAGCAGACGCCATCACGGAGCCTGCATACCTTTACTTTTTTACACGATATCAATAAGGTACATACATATTCATAAACCAAGACCCAAGTACCTGTGCATCGAAGCATTGAAAAAATAACGTCTCGTTTCGCCATGTGCACATTCTAACACAACCACAAATAGATCGTCCGCTCTTGCGGCCGATAATAAATTATACTGGAAGCTAACGTAAGACGCTTTTCATTTTTCATCAGACACACTGCCCATTCACTATATATCTGATAATGAACATGATGAACAACAACATTTTCTGATCTGGAAAAAGTTGAAACACTAAACAATTACTTTTCATCTTTTTTTTAAAAATAGATGACAATGGCAAATAAATACCGAAATAGTATTCATTACCAGTATGTACAGGCCAAGTCATATTGTTATTCAAGAACAGGAAATAATTTGTATCCATACTTTCCGGTAAATAAGCTACAGGACTAGATAGCACAAGTCATAAAATGCTGAAAGCAACAATCCTGACTATTTCAAAACCATTATGTAAGCTAACAGGTCTCTGAAGGAAAACGTCTTCCCTTACCACTGGAAAATAGATCGTGCGCTGCCTCTTTTTTTTTTTTTGGTTGTTGTTGTTGTTGAGAAGAAGACCCAACAACAACAACATATTTATTATAGACCCGTATAATCACTGAGTTGTAGAGGCAAAGTCGTGGAAAGAATAATTATTAAAGATGTGTTTAATCATTTTTATACAAATAATTTTTTTACGAATACCAGGCAGGTTTCCTACCTGGTAACACAACCGTTTATCAATGGCTGGAAACGTTAAATTAAAGCATCGATGAGAAAAATCATATGTTGTGTAATGTTTTGTGATTTGCCAAAGGCTTATGATAGAGTATGGCATAATGTTCTTCTTTTTAAACTACAAAGATATGGAATTTCTGGTAATCATTTTTGAATGATTTCATAGTTATCTGAACAATTGAAGTCAAAAAGTTATGTACGTAGATACTTTGTCCTCTAGCAATGCCGCGGTGCCCCAAGACCCAGTCCTTCGTCCCTGGTTATTTTTAATTTATGTAAATGTAAATATTTCAATAAATATGATATCATTCTGTAGATGATTAGTAGATGACAATTCTATACAAAATTCTTCGACAAATGTTGCTAACATAGAGTAACTGATCTAAAAGCTTTAGATGCGCGGTCTAAAAATAGTTACTAAAATTTAACCCTTGAAAAACTAAAGCTATATTCGTTATATCAATTTTAATTTTTAAAAGATTTCAGCTGACAAAATTACATTTTCAACAATGTCAGATAAAGTGTGTATATTTGATTTAAGCAATACTTGGACCATCTGTAAAAGAATGTTTTTTTGGCCTCTCCCGACTCAGGGTAAAAAAAATTGGGTCGGTAGGTAGGTGGGAAAATTTTTTTCAAGAAAATTTCAACATACTTGTTGACGAGTTGAGAAAATTCTGGGGGAAAAAAAGAATTTGAAAATATCTGTTCTTGCAGGTTAAAAAAAGGTTTTGAGTCGGGTCATTTTTAGCCCGTAGGTCGGGAGAGGGCAACAAACAATTTTTTTTATAGATGGCCTTGGAGTTGTATATTTTGGAATTTGGACATACAAAAAGAAAGTAATGGTAAGTATCTTCAACAGAATCAGTACTATGTTCACACATTTTTGATAATCACTAAACTGTCTATATATCTAAAATATGTTTCTAGTCTCTACTACTTTGTAATAAACTTCGTTCTGTCTCAACTCTTTTAAACCTCAAATGGAATTTTCTTCACTCATGATACTCTTTAAATAACATTCGGTCAAAATAAAGTTTACATAGCTCAGACTTTGAGGACCCCAGACACAATAAACATAGGGTGAGTTCACCATGCACCGGACACCGTCGTACTTAATTGAACAAGTTCTAGCGATTACTCTGTAAAACTGTGTTAAATTTTTGCAACATATTCACAAATATGATGATTATTCATTACTTGCAAATGCATTGGAGAAAAACAAAATATTTATATCTTACTGAAACAAATAGGAATAGTCTGTGATAATATTTTTTCTATAAAATTGCAATCAGAAGTTTATGATAAGCTGAAAAAAGATTTAAAGATTTGTCAGAATGTGCTGTAAATCAGATAGGTGTAACGTGCGTCCAGCCGAGCGGTTTATATTTTCCTGTGGACACATATCCGGTTACACTTGGGATTTCTGCAGTGCAGATGACGCTAATAGATAAACTGTATCTTGTCTACTTGGACACCAACCTAATTAATATATTTACTGTGATTGTTCAAACAATATACTTAATCAATATATTTGCTATGATTCGCATAACTATATAAGCAGAAGAAAATCAAGGTACCTAGACCTCCTGTCCTTAGTCCTTACCAGGGGCGTAGCTTCCATTGTAGCAATGAGGCAACTGCCTCACTAGATTTTTCAGCACCATCCCCTTTCTTATAATTTTTGTTTTTTTTTCTTTAGGCATCTCTATTAAATACTTTTGAATATGTAGTATAGTACATGCACGTTAAAGTCTTCAATAATGAAACCGGTAAAATTTAATATGAAATTTCTGTCCAGGACAAGTATGATTTTTGCATTCTAAAACCCCCAAATTCATTTTCCGTCAGGGGCTTCACCCCTGAACCCCCATCCCCACCCACCTAACCAGGGTTCCGCCCTGAACTTGCTGGGCCTAAGACAACCTCCAGACCCCTGGCCACAATAGTTTTGCCTCACTAGAATTAAGTCAAGCTACGCCCCTGCTTACCCATAACTAATGTCCCGGCCTGGTCAACTGGCCCAACTGCGGAAAAAATTCGTTTGGATCAATGTGCAAAGTCCGAATTTTCTCTTCGTCCATGCGTTGCTTTAAGAGCTCGCAGTGACGAGCGGCGCTTCGCACCGCTCGCTGCGCTCGCTATTATAATATCAAAGCTGAACACGATTCGAAAAAGGAATTTATCAGCCATATTCTTTTATTCGGTCGTTAAATCCGAGGGCCGCTATAAGCCGTTCACTTAGTCACTGTTAAAGTGCTATCAGAACTCCGTCACCTGTGTAGACGGACGTATGCTACATACCTATTGTACATGTAAAACACTCGGTAGCAAAAAAAAAAAACACCAAAAAACAAAAAACAAATAATAATAATAAACAATAATAATAATAATAACAAAATAACTGTTTACTGCTATAGGAGAGAAAGAAAAACTACAACTGAAGTGAATCTAATATGGCCTATAATTTAAGAGTTGTGTTCAGCTTTAAATTTCGCGGGAGAAAAAGCTTTACCATCTTTATTTGGTATAGGAGCTCTTCAGTCCTGGAGGTAAAATCAGAGGAGTGCCTGTGCTGTTGGGAAAACGGCAGGATATTTTTTTCGTAAGTCTCTGTTTTCTTGATGTTTAGAATCACATTGGTTACTGATATTGCTTTGTGATACTAACTGTATTAAGTATTAATGTATCACCATTTCTGAATCGCCATTTTTATCCGGATAAACATTGGTATGTGAAGGATGAACCATTAAGGCTTAGCGAGGCACCAAGCAGGGAAATCCTTCCAAGACATCCGAAAAAATGCAGATAGAAAAGACACTTGTCCATTATTATCAGAATATTGTCAATTTATTAGTTAGTTCATTTCATCTACACATATTTTCACTGTAGGTTTGCCATACTAGTTGACTGTTTCTTTACAATACTTTTTAGCAATGGTAACAATATGTCATTAATCACTATACTTGTCAAGTTTCATGCCAAAGACATGAAACGTAACATTCTCTTGTATTGTATGGCCTTGTCATATAGTTGGAATTGTTTTGAATTTGTTTTTCATAGGACTGTAATCTATTAATATATCCTCCAATCCCATCCCTGTAATTTTGAGTTTAAACAACATATTATAATTTGTAGACTTAGTACTTGGGGAATCTTCAACTAAGCAACTGTTATTTATGTGGCATGTATATACCTATAGTCTGTTCATGCTCAAATATTATGACAAGTTGAGACATTGAGTTGAAGAGAGAAGAATCTTCAATCATGAACCGAAAATAAAGACATAAACGTGCAAACATGATTATGTACTGGCTGTACGCTAAACGACACATATTTTTTACCCTATTCACAAGATCATGTTGGTATACCAAAATTCACAGGAAATTAAAATTTTGAATTGAATTGTATATCAGAAACCACCATTTTCCTTTAATTCTCAAAATTGAAGTGTAAAGTACACAATACTACATCTTTTGAGGTCTGAATCTTCCACTTCTTCATCACAGTAGGTAAACATGTTTGACACCAGGAATCCTGTTTCACAAGCGACTGCATCATGATCAAAGTCATTAAATGTTTCCGGGCATAATTACATTGTAATTAAAATCATAATGTATCAAAACATCTTTTGGGTTGAATTGTTTGTGTAAGTCTAGGGGTTTTCAATTATAACTTGTTTAAATTTTGTTAGTAAAAAGATTTTTCAAACAAAAAATGACAGGAATCGGAGAAACTCTGTTTGACAAACACAAAATTTAAACCATAACTGTTTTGTTCTGGCAACATTTAATATTATCCATTCTTACACAAACTGACAGAGTAAGTAAGAGGCTTAATTAGTATCATGAAAAAAAATGCAGATGACTAGAGACAGAGACTTTCGCATGATACACCATGCTATGGATAGTGTCTTCTTACTACAAATTGCATGACCATGGGGATTGCTGAAATTCTAAAAGTTGTAAAAGTTGCTTGTTTGCAGTGATTCATTTTGAAAATGGTTATCATGGGTCCAAGGGATGCCTCTTTTTTACAACAGTGAGTCCCATGTCAAAATCAATGCATCCAGAGCCAAGGGTATCTATTTAAAATATATTGCAGAGGAAACTCTAGCATACTATAAAAGGGCATTACATGAAAGTGCAGGGATTTTCCACTGCCCCATGAAGGGCCCAATTTAGGCCCCATTCCAAATTGCAACCATCTGGAGTTGAAAATCAAAAGAATTACTAAAATTTGAAGATGCATTAAGTGTTCTAGTGATGTGTTGATTAATCTACTCTTTGATTAAAAGTTCTACCTAAATAAATAAAAGCTCAAATTTATTTATCATTAGTATTTATTTCTTGGAAATTGACAAGACATAATTTCCCAATCAGTGATAAAAAGTAATTAAATGTCATTCTAAGGGCCCAGCCAGGCCACATTCCCAAAATGTAGTGGAAAATCTCAGAAGTGCCAAATGTTCTATTGTAGCTTTCAGTGGTTCATATTATTAATTTGAAACTTAGAATATTTAGTTTTGTGGCATGAAAATTATAATTTAAGAAGTAAGGTATAATTTTAAAACTTTTATCAGAATGTAAATACAGGTTGGTCATGTGATCAAATGCCACAGAGCCCAAAGGGCTTTATGGTAGATTGGATCACATACCAACCCATATTTACATCCCGATAAAAGTTTTAAAATGATACCTTAATTATTATTTAAACTTTGAGACTTATTTACAACATATATTATGAACTGAAGATTTTTACCCATAAAATGATTCAATTTTTTCAAACCTCAACGCTATAAATTGAATGTGTTAAACTCATCAACCACTTATAATGTCACTGTGAAATTAAGTCCATCATTGAATCTAAGGACATGTGACGAACTTGTTTTTACACAGAATTAAATATGTCTTGTTTAGATAGTGTTATCTAAGGGAAAACATTTGCAGAAATATATATTGTCCACTATGCACTTTGGTTCTATTTTTAAATCATAAATATGATTTCTTATAAAACTTATAAAATGAATGGAGGCATACCAGCTGTTCTGAACATTAAATGAAGTATGAAAAAAGTTTTTAAAAATATTAAAAATTATAAGAAAGAATAATGAGTCAATACTTATCATCTGCATCTAACAAAAAAATTAGAATGATTCATATTTTTTCATTTTAACTTTGAGGTGTGAAATCTGACATGTTCTTGACAACCATATACACATGTAGTCATGTACCTTACAAACAGCTCATGCATATCTCTTAGCATGTGGATATGATGCAATCAAACAATTTTGTATTAATTAGAATTTACCAAAATAAATTAAACAATACATATCTTTCTATAATTTTATTGCGTCCATTGGGATGCACATTTATTGAAATCATGCTTCCTCAGCAAAATTAATACCTAGCCAAAATTATGAATCACTGTGCAGCTTGTATTCTTAACTTGGTATATGAGTATATGACTTTAATATGGCCTGAAATCCCATATATGTTTATTTTAAATTTTGAATTCTTAGAAATGGAAAATTCAAGATTAAAAAAAAAGATGTGTATTGCACTTTTTGTAAAGATTGCATGCATGCAATGTAAGATAAAATTGTTGGACATTTTAGAATGAATGTATTCCCATAGTAATGTTCCTCTTAATACTAGCATTATCATCACAGTGTTCTGTGTTATCCAGATTTGAGATATATGGGACACAATAAATCCCATACAAGAGTATAAATGCCTATATATATATGTATTCCACAATCCTGGCACATATTAATAAAGAACGCCTTTTGCTGAAATACATTTGATAAGTGGTCAGCCACACATGATAGGAAGGGTTTTACCATTATGATATAGTGTTGAAATAAGCAGTCCAACTTATTTTCTCTTTTTAAAATTTGACTTAGACTCCTGGAATCTATAGACTACAAGTAATTATATTTACAAAAGTAAGGGATGTTGGTATGTAAATTGTTGGAATACATTAGGCTATTCAATTCGCCCCTTGGACTCCCCATTGAATAGATATTTAAGTGACTAGAAAAGGTTGACAAAGTGCCAGGTGACATTCTTATACCTATAGGGCACCTTTGTATAGACCACACCAGACACAGACACACTCATGCCTCCTTAATCAGCTGATAATCAGCATTCATCAGATGTGTGTCTACTGGTACATCTGCTGTTTATGCATCACATCTGATATTCACATCTGTATCTCGCTTTCTTTTACACATCTTAACCACAACATAACCTTCTCAAATCTGTAGATTCCCTGTGTTGTAAACCTGCGTGATGTTTGGAGAGTTTTTTCATGTGTCTTACATAAGGATATTGGTACTAACTGAATATTCCTGGAAACCTTGACTGACATCTATTATTTGCACATGCAACTTTTTAATGAATGTAATCTTGGTAAAATTACTATCTTTCCAGCATACAAATGGCTTTGTTGACCATATTCATGGTGCTTGTACTTGAAGCTCTATAATATATTAAACATATATTCATTTGTTTGTAATAATCAATCCATATATAAACATGTGAATTTTAATAATTTATTGAATCCTGTAGTAAACCAAATTCTTGATTTTATGAAAGGAAACTATTCATGCATGTTTTATTTGATAACCATTCAGGCATATCGTTATTGATGAGATGCTTGTAGTCATGACTGATATAGTGGTCAATAGACTAGATGATAACAGAGTTACAAGCAACTTCAGCTTGTTGGTTGGACACAGAGAAGAAATTTAGTTGATCTTTGACAAGCCATGCCCCAATTTTTTTTTTTTTTTATGTACATGTAATTTCTAGGAGGAATTGTGTCATCAGACAAATAAGGTTAATAAAGCCAATAATGGTAACATGCCATTATGGGACTACATGTCAATGAAATGGTAAACTGAAATGAAGGACAGACTCTTTTCAGTCGATAACATCAGGTATGAAAAGAAAGATGTCAAGGTTAATGTTAAGTGGATTGATCGATTCATCATTGTATGTTCTTTCATGTCCCATTCGAGAATTTGTCACTCATATAGAGATGTCACCATATACCAGTGAAAGGCTTCAAATTTATAGACCTTTCTCGGCACTCAGGGCCATTGAGCAGTGAGGGTTCTTTATCATGCCAACGCCTACCGTGACATGGAACCTTGGTTTTTAAGGTCTCATCCAAAGGACCCACAACTTTCACTTCAAAGTGCCGAGCGCTTGGCGAAGGAACAGTTGCTACCTATTTTTTATCAACTTAGGTCAGTCACGGCCGTGATTCGAACACACGACCTTCCGATCATGGAGCGAGCACTCTACCGACTGAGAATGTTAAGTCGAAAAATATGGGGAAGTAAAAAAAGAACAATGCATATGGTTTGACAAAAAAAGTTTAAAAAAAAAAAATTCAACAATTTTACAAAGTTCTGTAATGAATTATGATTCATTTCACCTCATTAACATCAATATATTTACATACCTGTTGTAAAATGTATACATTATGCCAAAATGTCATTATATAGATAGTTTAGTATGACATATATTTCCATCTGAGTTATTCCCCTTTGCTGTTATATTGTTTAATAAAATTATTAGCTCACCTGAACCAAAGGATCAAGTGAGCTTTTCTGATCATGTGCAGGAGTTGTTTCACATTTTTTACTTTTTCTTCAGAACCAGAGGACTAATTTCAATCGAACTTATGGGACCACCATTTGATTCTCAAGGGGTGGGGGGGGGGGTGGGGGGGGGGGACCTGGGAGATTTCAGAAATAAAAATATGTCTCAAAAATTTTGAAAAGAAATGAAATAATTAATAGTAATCTGTGCTTAACTGGCAAGAAAATAGATATTACTCCTTTTCTGGTGCTTCTACCCCATTTTGACCATTTACTTTTTATACTTCCCACTTGAAAGCATGATGTATATTACATATTGATGGGGGTGTCTGTCCATCCATCTCACCATCTGTACATCCATAACACTTTGGGATACCTATCTTTTATCTGCATCTCCTTTATCTGCAACTCCTTGTATATTGTTAGATATTTAAAATTTAATGAGACTTTCACAGAAAATGATATAATGATAATATATGAGTGTATTTTATCATTTTTTTAAATCAAATTGTTAGGTCTGGGCTCACTTAATTATCTGTTAATGTTATGGGCACACTAATTTATTTTGGTATCAGTTGTTTGTCAAGATGTTTCTCTACACATGGGTCCATGGCAGGATAGTGTACTATACATGTATCTTATTACTGTAGTAAATGGGTTGGAAGAATTAATTAACTTGGGAATGGAAATATGATGAAAACAAGTCATATTTACAAAATACTAAAAACATGTACATTTATATGTAGTTAGTAGAAATGACAATTATCAATCATTTTTAAATATGTTGGATTCCAGTCTCACCCCTGACTGTTGAAAGCTATTACTTACGTCGTCAAGATGTTTTTAATAAATACCCTCTAGGAGGTTGGTAATTATTATATTAATATATAAATTAAATTATCACTCCAGTATTAGTTTCATTCGTAAGATTCAAGACCTGCATCATATTAGGAATTTTATGTACTACATGAACTTTTTAACATTTTATACTAGCTGTTAAATGATCAAACATTTGATGAATTTGAGTCTTGTCGGTCATTGAATGGAACAGGGGATGATCAATACACGTGTTGTGAAATCTTCAGTGATGACATGATGACAAGTATGATGACAAATATATACATATATATATGTAATTTGTACATATAATTTCCATGATTTATAGTGAAAAGGGTGAATATTATGTCAATATTTTGAGTGAATATTGTTATGGAGCATTTTTGTGCTCTATAAATTATATATTAGTAAAAGTTAAACAAATTTTGTCCGTTTTGTCCTCTTTTTGAAAAGTAACAAAAAATCCAAATACATGTAGTTTGTGACATCATAGAAACAAAATATGCCAATAACCTACTTTGAAATTCTAATATTTTTTGTTAATTCAGATTTTTCATACAATATATACAATTCTGCACGTATCAAAGAATTTTCAAAATTTGACTTTTATGGGGCAGAAATATGCAAATATCACATATAGCTCTTTTACCGTCTTATAAGAGGGACAATAGCAATTTCTCAAACAAAATTTGAAAATACACATCCAACTTAAAAGCAAGTTAAAAGACTTGTTTTATTTGTAGTAATTTGTCATTGACAGGTAGAGAAAAGATTACACAATAATGAGCATTTGCTGTGCCAAAAAAGTTGTGTTCATAATACATGAATAAATAAAAATTATGGCATTTCAAAAAAAACTTCTAGAGCCATTGAGTACTGAAAATTTGATTTCTCTGTGAAAAAAAAAGCTGCGAACATAGAAATACCGGTCTATGTACCTTTCTGGTAGTGCATATTAAGATGCAACTATGATGTATAGGTGGCAAATTAAGTTAATAGTCAGACTTGTACTTTCAGGAATGGGGCGTGACAGTCTCCATTACTAAGAAACCATCTGCTGCTGACTAGAAACTCACAAAGCTGTCCAGTTAAACTTAAAAACATGACTAGTCAGGTAATAGCTAACTCAGTGACTGTAAAGTCTTAATACTTATTACTGCATAGGGAAAGCCAATTTGCAGTGTATTCATTGTATCTGAGTTCTCAATTAAGTCACAAATTCAAGAAACAGTGAATAATTAATATGTTTAAAGGGCATAATAAACACAATATTTTTCCACAAATTCATACAACCATAATTAGCAAAGGAAAATAAGCAAACTTTTACACTTAGATTTTTAAAGCCATCGTGGTAGTACATGTAAATACTACAATACTACATAGGTATAACTCTTTTAACTTGGAATGTGATTTTAAGAATGTCTTCATTTCATCAAAGGGTTTTTTCTTTAAGTTATACTAAGACTTCAAACTTCAGAAAGAGACCTTTACAACTGTAGCAAACTACTTTATTGAGAGTAGTGGAGAGTACTAAGTAATAATTGCCTTTTTATTTGACAGGTAAATGCAAACCAGGAACTTTTCCTGGACATCCTCACCAAAGAAGAAAAAGAAGCCTTACTCACCAAAAAAATGGAAGAGATAAGGAAGAAAAACGAGGCACTCCGAAAGAGGCACGAGGTCTGTTAAGTCTAGTATTGATAACATGATTTCTGAAATAGGTTTTATCTTCATATCAGATAAAAAAATCTGCTTAGGAAATGATTATTGATAGAATGCAAAAACACATAAATTATAGTTTAAACAGAAAGTGTATGTGTCTAGAATTTGAAGGTTTTTCTCTTTCACAGGAAATAGAGGCAGATAAAAGAGCTGTTTCAGGGGGAGCCAAAAAAGTAGCCTCCCCAAGGAAAGAGTCAAAGGTAATGGTGTCATGTGATATACAAGTATAAATATATAAATCTGTAAGCAAATACATCTATTATCAAAGGGTATGAAAACTTGATAAACGTGATGTTGATCAGGATATAAAAGGATTATTTAAATGACAGACACAGTTGTGAATGATAAAGGTTAAATATGTTTTGTACATATTTTCTAAAGAAGCAATTAAGGTAACCTTTAAAGACCAGATATATTTTGAGACGTCATTGATAAATTTGTTATTGTCATCATGTTGTTTTGATTTGATATCGATACATTTTAAACAATTGATGCATAATAAATACAGTAAAATATGCTTATAAGATAACACTTGTAATGAATTGATACTTACAGTGATGTGATAATTTTCATTCCCCTTTGCTTTAAATTACAATTTGAATTTAATGGATATATAAAAGATATTTTGTAATTTTTGTTGTTAGATATGGAATTTATTTCCTGAGTGGGATGGGATTATTTAGCTCTACTGGTCAGAGACCAGAAGAGCTTATGCGTAAGGTTTCCATAATCTGTCTGGTTGTGTGTCTGTCTGTAAATAATTTATAAAATGCTACTCCTCCTGTTTATTGGTTTTTGATTTCAATGAACGATGTTGCCATTGTTACTAAAAATAGAAATTTCTGTAAAATTCTTTCAAAAGGCTACTCCTCCTACAGTTTTAGTCTGATTGCAATAAATCTTTCCACAAAAAGAGATTTAACCAAGGATCATTATTCTATTTTTTAATGTTGCAAAGTTTCAAGTACAAGTACTACTTTTCTCTTCCTTTGTTATAAGTACAAAACAGTAGAGCTACAGTCTAATCAGAGTATGTTTTTTTTTATTTTCAAGAGTCGAAACACAAGTGAAAATATTGAAAAGATCCTGTCTAATGAGTGAAATAAATTCCATATTCAACGTCAAATACATTGAATTTTCTGTTTATTACATTTTCTTTGATTTTCCCTTTGCCTAGAGCCGTCTTTTCATATTGCAGTGTTATAGGCATCATAGTTGAGCAGTTTTGAGACATCTGCACAGCTAAGCAATTGCGAGATTGAAAACATTGTAAACATGGGTTCCAACAACATATTTTGAGAAACTTTGGTGATTTTAGTCTTTGTCAGGATGGTTTATTACTCTATTTTATAGCAGGCCAGGGAGTATTTTTTACCACACTCTTTATAAAGGGAAGGACATTTGAGAGTTAATTTTCACTGAATTTCTAATATTCTTTCACACTTAGACAAAATATTACTGATATTCTTTCACACTTAGACAAAATATCACTGATATTCTTTCACACTGTATGAAATATCACCCTTTAAATAATGAATTATGTTTATAATGATCCAAATCGTCCACTCCTAGTACTTTGATATAAGCATTTTACTGTATTTTATAATTTGAATAAAACAGTAGATAATAAGCTGCAGCTTTAGATATTATGCAGCAAGAGTAACTCTAAGAATTTCTCATGGATCATGTGCATTCAGACAGTAAATTCTGCATTAAGTGCATAGCAGTTAAAGCTGTATTTAATATGTAATTTGTTAAATTGGTTTTTACTTTATTGACAACCAAAAATTTTCATTTTATTTATTTATTTTAAAGTACAATGACTTCTTTAGGAGGGGTGGTTAATTTAATGTAGTTTGAATGGTGAAGAAAATATTTAGATATATTGATGGATATTTTTTATCAATTGGAACATGTATATTCACACTGAAACGCTTATCAATGAAAACTGTACATGTATCACACAGTAAGTTTAAGCTGTGCATGATTTCAACTCGATCCATTTGTAGTTATAGTTGACAATTAGTGTAAAATGTTATGGATCTTGTACAAATGCAGTTGTTGAACTTTGATAAATATTTATGATACAGCCTCTACCTGGAGAGGAAGTGCCCAAGGAGCCAGCAGATGGTAGAAAAGAGCGACCCAGGCAGCCTAGACCTGCCGGGCGGGGGAAATCCCCCAGTAAAGGAGTCCGAGACACTCCAAAGGCTCAGGTATGCTTACTGTACAGGAAATAGGGATTTCTATTATGAAAGTGGAGAAAAATTTGAATAATTCTCTGATTAAGAAAAAGTTTCAAGGTTGTATGAAAAAGGATACGTCATGAAAGAACATGTGTGTATGCTTTTTCCAACGTGCACACAAAAGACATCATTAATGAATTCATCAGAAAATTTACTGCAATCTGTTACTTGTTTACTATGCCTAAGTTTATTAGCAATGCATATTACACATATTAAATCTTACTTATTTTAAGACCTGCATGTAATTTTGATTTGAACCTGGTGTTCATAGTTCGATATTTTATAAAATATGTGTGATACAAAAATTATATTGCAATGTGTTGAAGATGTTTATGGCTACATTTAGCATGTATTACATTTATGAAATACATGTAGAAACCAAAATATGCACAAATATATTTACATGTATCATCTTACTAACAGCATGTTGCTTTTGTTGTTAATATTGCATGGAATTGTACTTTGATGTAGGATATTCGAGTCACACGTAACTTATCTGGAGAAGACGGAAGCATAGAACGTAATATTCAGATGAGTAATTACAACGAGGGCTCAACAAAAGTTTATCGAAAGAAAAACTCCAAACATTCTCAATTTCAGAGGCCTGGGTCGCAAAGCTTCCCTGATGAAGAGGCACAGGAAAATGAAAGATTGGGAAAACCCCGATATCGGCGGCCATTTTCCAGTGAGGAAGGGATCCAAGGGGATCGCTATCAGAGGCACTCATCAAATGAAGAGGATCAGGGAAGGAACCAGCGCCGTGGAAAACGGCCATCAAGGAACCCTCAAGTCGAGGAGGTTTCAGATGGAGCCTATGAAGCTCTGAAGCGTCAACACCAACAGCTTAACTACCAACCCAGAAATCAAGAATTTCGAGAGCATGATTTCAGGGATAATCGACATGATAGAGATGGAAGAAATAAAAGGCACCCAAGACCTCATGTCAGAAATGGTGATGCCCGACGAAGTTTTGAGGATAACAACCAAAACTTCAGCAATGGATTCCAGGATAAAAGATATCCACAAGACCATTCAGAGTTTGAACCCCAAGCAAAACGCATGCAGAGTGGTATGAAAGGATTCCAGAGAAAGGAGAACCAGGGATATGACTTCTCCAAGAGCCCTCTTGTAAGTTGTAACATGGACTGTAAAAGAATGATTTGAAAGTTTCAAAATTGTAATTCTAGGGTAGGACAGAAAAGGCATGTTTATTTTTCACATTTTTGAATCTTGTTGTATGTGATTGTTGTTTGCATGGTGTTCATTTCTTTCTTTTTGTGTGAATTTTTGTAAGTGTATGCATTTTAGTTAATGTAATTTACACATATGAATTACTTAATTAAGAACTGAAAAGGAATTGGAAAGAGATTCATGTTTCAGTAGAAGTAGTCCATTTATATTAACTGAGAGTATTAAGTGTGAGTATTACTTTTGTATTTAAAATCACATGGCATGTTACAGTATATTTTGAATATTACAGGGACCTCCACCAGATCCAGCCTACAACTTTTTGTCTGACAGATATCGTCTTGGCGAGAGGCCACCAGAGAACCCCCGAGGAGAAACCTCCAGGAGACACCCCAAGAACTATGGAGGAGAAGACTTTGGCAATGTGAAAAACAGAATGAGGAAGGAAAGAGAAAGACGGGTGATTTTTTTTTTATCTGTGATGATAAAACTATGATAAAGCTTAAATAGAGAGGATTACATGTATATATCACTGACCCCGGGTCTTTTCAATCTTTTTTCTCATAAATTATCTCAAATGACATATTTATGATAAAATCTGTAACATGAATTCGAAAAATTACCTAAAACAAAGATTTTATAAAAATTTCTTTCTCTCTTTGTAAACCAACAAGGTTGCCAAATTCCCCAAAGCTGAATCATAGAAAATGATGAGGAGATGACCTATTTCCCATTTCCTCCATACATGTTTAAACATATAGCGCAATATTGTATATGGAACATTTTCTAGATTTTACACTAAATACATTTAGTTTTTAAAGGGGCATAACTCTCAAAACAAAACTTGCAAATCATATACTGATTTAAAAAATAGATTACATTTAATTTATGTTAGCTAGTGGTTTAAAATTCCATAATACCTTTGAAATACATTTGTAAAACCAAATTTCTTCAAATGCTTATTCTAAAACAGTGTTTCAGTCTTTCTGCAGAAGTTGTATTTTGGGATAGAAAGTCGTCTACTCATCACTTTAGGTGATTCAGCTTTGATCAGTTAAAAAATGCTAACATATTTGGGAACCTTGGCTTTTATGACTGTTGATGTGCCTAAACATTCATGAGAGTTGGTGATTAATGGAATGAATATTAAACTTACAATATCACTTGTTGACTTTAGGGCTAGGATTAGTTTTATGAGGCAATTTAACAAAGATTCCTCAGCAGTGCCTCTCGGCTTGCAGACTAAGTAGGCAGCTTTTTGGATTTGTATAAACAGGTGGGGGAAAAATTTTCATGAAAGGTTTGTGGTAATTTTTTGAATTGATGGTATGGATTAGATCACAAATCTGTCATCAGAGGACAATTTATTTAAAAAAAAGAAAAGGGCCAGGAGTCTATAGTGGGGGGGGGGGGGGGAGGGTTGTTGTTGTTGTCCTCAAGCACCTGTGGATTTGAAAGTTAATGTCTAGCCCTGCAGAAATAACATTGAGTATGCTTACAGAACTAGCATGATGAGTGTGCTTACAGATCAGCATAATGAGTGTGCATACAGAACTAGCTTGATGAGTGTGCTCACAGAACTAACACTATTAGGGTGCTTACAGAATTAACACTACAACCACTTTTTCCTTGTTTTAGGACAGAGGAAGAGGTGGTCCTCCACGTAATAAGATGGAGATGGCAATAAACATGACAGGAAGAGAGCGAAGAGAATATGTCGAGTGGAAGGCAGAGAGAGACAAAGTGGACCAGGCTCGCATTGACAGGCAGAAATCGGCATCTGGAGAGTGGAAACGAGAGTGGGATACCCAAAAGGACCATACTGAGTAAGGGGAGGGGGGGTGTAAATAGAAAAGGATATATCATACATGTAAAAGACTTAAGGTTCTAGGCCAGCATTAAAAAATGATATGTTTGAAGCACCATATCGAAACAATTTTCAATGAAAATTGAAGAAAGTCAGGTATAAATTTCAGAGTTTCTTTCCATCTCAGAAAAAGGAAATGTATCAATATTGCCCACAGTCTATTAGAAAACAATTTTTCTTATTTTCTTAACCTCTACTTTAAAAAGATATTACCGGTAAATTGAATTTAGGTATCGTGGTTACTTTTGATTTCAAACTGAATCTCATGAAAATGCTTCATTTTCTACAAAATTCTATTATAGCCGTAAAGTACGGGAAAAAGTAAGTTTAAATTGATCATTGTTTTTCAGAGAGGCCAGCCAACGTATGGAGCCAGGAAAACGACCAGGTAATCTAGCCACAGTCAAGCCTGTCATAGGTATAACCATGCTTACAGAAAGAAAACTAACAGTTTAACATCTGTTTTATAAACTGATAGCTAAATATTTTATCTTGGAATTTTTTATTTTGACATTTTCTCTGTATGTGTGATCAATATACACACAAGAGTGCGCAGTGATATTGCAGTGTAAGGTTTTTATACTAGGTATCTATAACTATTTTGTTTCAAATTCAGGAATCATAACAAAAATGAATACATGTCTGACTTAAGAACCAAAAATTAATTCCCTTCCTAATGAGAATTCATACAAAACATTAATCTTTTTTACATTAAAACATCGATCTTATGCACTGTACTGTAGGGTAGACCATATTCATCGTATAATTGTATCTAATAAGACAGCTGTTATCTTCTCAGGTAATTTGTAGAACTTGAGATTGTTTGAGACTATAACTTCAGCTCTTAAAATTACAGAAAGCAACTGAAATCTTAGCTCATTTGTTGACTTGTACTGTACTTTTAATTTAAGCTGGCCGTATTGGCAGCGGTCGATTTGATCGAGGTGACAGGGATGAAAGGCCACTAGGTGAGGGCATGCTCAACAAAGCATCCCATAATTCATCTGTGTATCCCATAATTCATTTTTTAGTTTTCATTTACTTACACCAAATTATATGTTTTCTGTTTACAACAAAATATCCAGTTGGGAAAATCCAGTTGGGAATAGAGCATGGTATAACCCAGTTAACTGGGAAATGTTTGCATGTACAGGTACATATAAATATGCAAGAGCCATTAATGTACACACTTATGTGTGAGCAGTAATTCATTAAACAATACATATATATATACTGGTATATTTGTATAATCATTATATTTGGATGCAAGAATCTTTCCATTATTATTTTATCTTGCACGAGAAATTATCAGATTTATTTTTATTTAACCTTTTTTTTTTTTTTGCATGATCACATATATTTTTTTTACTACTTGGTGTATGACAAAAATGATTGATGCTTCAAACTTGCACAAATTTCACCTTGGGTCCTTTTCCAATGTATCTAATAACATTTACCTAGGTCAAACCTATCTAAGAATACTTTTAATCTTGTTTCAGTTCTTATAATTTTCCAGATGTTCCTAACACAATAATGATGAAATTGACTGATGCATTGTACATCAGTAAATTGCATTTTCTTCACAGGGACCTTAATTGTTTATAATCATAGTCAAATTTAATTCTTAATCTGGGTATAAAAATGAAAAAAAAAGTTATTTTGATAAGCATAATTGCCTGGATGTGAAAATAAAAGTATGAGAATTGTGCATGTAATGGGAAATAACTCTGATTACACATTGTACATTAGACACATGAAAATTAAGTCTCCTGAAAAAAAACAGCTGTTATTGTGGTGAAATTAAGTCACAGGTTAATTGGTAGGTTTTGCCTTGATTATCCTGAGAAAAAATTAGTTGCTGTTTTTATACGCCTGTCTTGAGACGGGACATATGACATGTATATTATGGCATTCATGTCCAGCCGTCTGTCTGTCTCTTAGCTTTTTTGCGTCTGGCACATAACTAGCTTTAATACTTTTGTGCCTAGAATTATAAAACTTCTTCAGCTGATACATCTTGGGTAGAAGGTGTTTCACATGTTAAAAGTAGGTTGCTCTGACCTTTAATTAATTGCTTTATGGCCAAATATGGAAAAATCCTGTCTGGTTCATAACTAGAAAACTATTAGACCTAGAATCATCAAACTTGGCCAATTAATGCATCTTAGAAGGTGTGTCGCATCCTGCTTCAAGGTCATACACTGTGACCTTTAAGTGAAATCTTATTAAAAAAACTTTGTCTTTTAGCTTTTAAATTACACAGTCCCAAAAGGTTAAGAGTATTGCAGTATCCTTACTTCAAAAATGTTAAATCAAGAAAAAAATTTTTTTTTTCATTATATACTTTACAGCAATCTATAACAAATGTAATGTTATAAGAGAAATTCCACCTCCCCCATTGGTGTAATTATATCAAGCACTGGTCAAGGAGAATTTTGATAACAGACAAGTAATAGCTTTTGAAAAAGCTTGCCTGACTAAATCAATATCTATGGAACGTATAAGCAAGAGAAGTGCTAAACGTTCTCGTCATCAAGGAGTGACATAGTTGCAATACTTCATTACACAAGATGTACAATTGACTTTCTCAAATGTCATAACCAAATATTACAGATTAACAAATATGTAAGACATGCCACTGTTTAGTCATTTATTAGTTAGCCCATGGGCTGACTAGTTACGTTGGGATGAAACTGCAAGTGCACTTTCGCAGATTGGAATTCTGGGAAAAATAGACGAGTCGTTCTAAAGGCGCGCTTCTTCATGCACACTCTCTGGTCAGTGACAGATTGATGAAATGGCCTCTATTTATAGACTGGTCTCTTTTCCGTCATTCTAGACGTCAAAGTAATTTGTGAACAGTTTTAACTTGAAGTGTTTGAGACAAAAATGCTTCAGTGCTGCTCTAGGACACAAAGTAAATGGCCTGTATACTTTATAGCTAGAGCAAAACAAGATACTAATAATCCCCCCTCCCGGAAAAAAATTTCTTGCGATGATGGTCTTGCCATATATTACGAATAAGTTTAAAATGTATCTTTATGTACAGTTTTAAAATCGTTTACAGTTTTTCTTTTCAATCGATATCAGGATTTTTCTCATTTCTTCTATAATAACATGTCTTTAATGAAATGAAAACCAGTACAGATCATGATGTAATCTGAAATCATTTTGCCAATTCTTTGCTTAGAATCTTACGGGAGTGAAGCCCATTTCCTCTACGGGTACTGGCTTACACTCTTGTCACTGTATTAAAAGGAAACCCTTGTTCATCACAAAGCATTAAATAAAATCCTACTGGCTGACTTTCTAAGCTTTTTAAAAAGCTAACCTTGAAACGTTCATTATTTTGTAATATTGAAAGAAAAGGGGGAAAACAGACTGAATCAAGAAGGAGGGATGTCCCATTTACTAGGTGGAGGGAATTTGTTTATGATTGGACTAGTCCACTTAAGGGGTAACTGGAAAAACATAATAGTAAGAATAATCAGCAAATCCATTGCTTTTGTGTTGCCTGCCCATATACAATGTGTTTTTTTTAAATGAGATAAAATTTGCAGTTCATAAAAAATCTGAAGCTTAAGAATCAGGTTAAAGAACAAACTTTATTTATTTCCATAGAAGTTATCACACCCATTCAATAGAACAATCCAAGAAAAAGGCGCAAAGATAATTTACTTGTGACATTTGGTGCGAAATTATTGTGTCACCCCTTTCGTAGAAGACAAATGGACTGATCCAGTAGTTTAAAAACGCAAAAAAAATGTTACACGGACATGTTGGTATAAAGAATCGCAAAGAATAAACAGGTACATGCAAAAAAACTGAAGAAAGTAAACACATCATTATTTTGCATCAGTAATATTATTCTTTCTTCTGCAAACTGTATTTGTTTAAATGCAGGTAACAAATTCCGATGTAAATCAGCTTGCACAAAATCTAGCTCACTAAGTATGATCGCTTAGTTTCGGTCCAAGGAATTTTGATCCTTATAATGCCTGACACACGTGGCGTCAGGCAAAAATTGCATGTCAAATCAGAGAGAAATAAATGAAGTTAGTGTGAGGAGATAACTGGTAGAGCATCTCTGATCAAGCAGGTGTTATCTATATGTCTTTATGAATTTCAAGGTCCTTGCCCCCTAGGGGCCTGAGGGGTGGGGCTGAAAGCATCAAAATCAATGCATGGAGTCTTTAAAAATCTTCTTTTTGACTCCCAGACATCAATCAGTCAGACTGTTGGCATGATTGTAATAAGCATTTAGCCCTCTACCAAAATTGTGAAATTCATGGCCACAGGGTCAGGGGTTCTGGTGCTTGGGCGGGGTCCTGTTGAATGCAATTGAAAATGCATTATTTCTTTAAAAATTTTCTCCTCTGATCCAAGGTATTAAGGCGCTAAAGTTTTTTTCTTTTGGTTTACGATTCTGCCAACCCTAATTTTCACCAATCATGAAAATAAAAATAATGTCTTTATTCTGATTTTTCTCAGCTGAATGATGGGTTTTAAAATTTAGAATGCATCCAAGTCAAATAAGCGCTTATCAATAATTGAGACCTTTACAAACATTTAGATGACCATAAATAAACACATGTGCAAGCCCAATATGGCAGTAACTGTCATAAGAACAAGGTAATTCCTCACTTAAAGTAATGGCAGACATTTAAAGAACTTTCTACATGAAAAAGTAAATCAAATCTGGGTGCATGATGCCCTTTACCAACATTTCTCCAATTGCAATATCTCAATTGGCTAAATTCGAACTGGAATATTGGAGAGTGCCCAATCCTAACCTAACACAAATAATATTTATGCCCCCCTTCAAAGAAGGGAGGGCATATTGCTTTGCTGCTGTCTGTCGGTAGGTCTGTCTGTCTGTCGGCTCACCAACAGTTTCGTTCATTTTCTTTCCAGAGGTTGCACATACTGAAATGAAATTTGGTATAAAGATTTATCATAAGAATATCTAAGTCAAGTTCTGTTTTGGGTACAATCGAGCAATTTCTGACAGAGTTATGCCCCTTGGACTTAAGAAAATTCCAATTATTGGGGGGGGGGGGGGGGATAAGTATTTCACAAACATCTCTTGCTTGAAAATCTTCTCCTCTGCTCTTGGGTATTAAGCTGATGAATTAAGTGTATGGTTATGATGAACAAGGGTGCCTCTTCCAAAATTGTGTTGTGGCCCATGGGTCAGGGGTTCAGTGGAAGGGGCTCTTTTGATTATATAGCAAAAATGCATTAATGCTTTTGAAATCTTCTCCTCTACTCTTAGGTATTAAAGAAACAAACTAAATGCATAGTTATGATGAGCAAGGGTGCCTCTTCCAAAATTTTGAAATATTCACCCCAGGGTCAGGGCTTCATGTTCGGTGGGGGCTCTACTGATTATATAGAGAAAATGCATTATTTCTTGATAATCCTCTGCTCTGCTTCTGGATATTAAGTAAACAAACTAAGTGTATAGATTTAATGAGCAACGGTGCCTTTTTCAAAATTATGAATTTCATGGCCTCTGGTTTAAAATATGAACCAATTAAATTGTGGGAAAGTTGTTACGTGATACTCAGGTGACCTTTAAGACCCGTGGGCCTCTACTAATTTTAAAAGATGGAAATATTATTGAAAAAGTACACATACTGTAAAAGCCATTGACTAACTACTTATAAAATTTGAAACCAGTTACGATCTTTCTGACTGATTAGGCTGTTAACTGGTGAATTTTTGTCATCCCTAAAACATATAGTTGCCATCTTTTTTCTACCTTTATGGTACCAAGTTAATAATTGTTAAATATATAAAGCTAGCCAATGTTCTGGGAATAACTTCTTTGAAACCAAACTTGTAAAAATGTTTAGTACAATGTATTTTTATAGGCTATTTTATATAGGCTAACTGTTTATATAGGCTAACTGTAGTGTTTTAGAAAAAAGAGTTATAGCAAAATGTCTAATTTGAAAATGAATTTTTTATCTCTCTTTCACTGTATCATAAGAGCATAAAATCTCTACAGTTTAAAATTATTTCTTCAGCACCTGGACGAAAGGATTCCAAGGAATCTGGAGGGAAACCTCAACCAAATGGAGTGGGACAAGAACATATAGTGGAGAAAGATGCAGTCCATCGTCCAGTTGGAAGGGGTAGGGGAAGAGGCAGAGCTCGCAACAGGGGGAGTGGCTCTGGGAATGATCCAGGGCGGGTGAGGACATATTCAGGAGAGGATAGACATGTTGAATGTAAGAAAGACTTGCTGGTCATTAAGGTGGATAACACACCAGGGACAAAGTCAGATCAGGTGGAAGTGGAGTATTCTGATGGAGAAAATGAAGCACATAGTGGAGATCACACAGCAGCCCACCATAAGAAAGCAGGGCCACATGCTGAAGAACTGTGGTGGGATGAAGAGGGGGATGATATAGGGCTGGAGTTGCAGGGAATCCCAGCTGAAGATGATATTTTTGAACAGAAAGACTTGTTTAATGATTATCATGGGGAAGGATATGATAAAAATGGCCATTTTGAGGATGCTCCAGGACAAACAAGTCAAGGAGATGATGATGAATGGGAGGACTGTACTACAAGTGAAGATTTTTCTACTGATAGAAGTCAGAGCCAGACATCAGTATCAGATGATCTGACCTCTCCCCTCAAGGTTAATCTTAATCCTGATGCACCTGTCTTTACTCCAGCTTCACCAACATCACCCAGCCCACTGGCAGCGAAGGTCAGTAAAGAACAAAAGATTGAAAAGGCATCACCTAAAGAAAAAAAGACCAAAGAGTTGAAAGTTGGAGACGGAAATATCTCCAAAAATAAAGAGGAAAAAGCCCCACTGGACAGCAAAAAGGAGAAAACTGAACATTCCAAAAGTGACACAGATCACTCTGACTCTGGAAAGGCAGACACAAAGCCTGAGGAGTCTTCATTAGCTCCCTCTGAGGAGGAGCTCAAAGGTGAGGTATTTGAGAAACCAACAATGGCCGACTCTCATACCACACAAGAAGAACCTGATGTAAAGGCAGACACTAACCCTGATGATAAGGGTCAGTCTGATGAAAATCAGACTTTGATTGATCCTCCCACAGATATGCTGCCTAAAGAAGAAGCAGATCAAGATGACACCAAGAAGAATTCTGAGACTGTAGATGCTGAGAAACAAAAACCTGAGGTTGAGGATGAAACAGATTCTCATGATGATATAGCACAAGAAGCCATTGAAGGTAATATTTTGGATAAATTTAGAATGTTTTTTTTTTTATGCCCAGCCATGAATGTGGCCAGAGCATAAAGTGTTTGTGATGTTCAATTTCTGTCCCTCTGTCCTTCCATCTGTCTATCCATCACACTTTGCAGTATTCCAGTTTCAAAAAACAATATAAGATATTTTTATTTAACTTCATATGCTGATACATATTGATGGGAGCTACTCAACTGCATCAAAATCGTTTGACCTTGACCATCCCTTCGACTTTTACCTCAGTTTTAGGTCACCTGAGTTGCACAGGTGACCTATTTCTATCTGCTTTTGTCCATCATCGTACATTGTCCACTGTTCATTGGTCATAAACTTTTGAACATTTTCAACTTTTTCTCTTGAACCACTGAACCAATTTCAACCAAATTTGGCATATACATGTATCATCAATAGGTGAAGAGGTTCAAAATTTGTGAATTGATGGTTCCTGTCCCCAGGGGATAAAACCATAAAAATTAATGCTATCTTGAATAATCTTCTTTACTCCTGGACATCAAACATTCAAAAACTGTCGGAATGATTGTAATAAGCATTGAGCCATCTACCAAAACTATGAAATTCATGACCCCTGGGTCAGAGTATCTGGAGTTAAGACTGGACTCTTATTATTATACTGAGAAAATGCAAAAATTCTTTAAAAACCTTCTTTTCTTGTAGATTTAGCAGATAAACTACGTACATGTTTATGATGTGCAAGGCTGCTTCTTCCAATTAAAATCATGTATGGCAGCCCCATGGTCAGAGGTTTTGGTGTTGGTGTTGGTGGTTAGGGGAGGCTCTTTCTCTGCTGGGTATTTAGCAAACAAACCAGGTGCATAGTTATGATGAGCAAGTATACCTTTTCCAAAATTGTGAACTTCATGGCCCCTGGGTCAGAGGTTCTGGTATTAGATGGGGCTCTATTGATTTTATATTGAAAGTGCTTTCATTCTTTGAAAATCTTCTCTGCTACTGTGTATTTAGAAGACTAACAAATTGCATGGTTATGATAAGCAAGGGTGCTTCTTCAAAAATTGTGAATTTCATGACCCCCCTTGGTCAGGGTTCTGGTGTTAGGGCAGGGCTCTATAGATCAGAAAATGCATAATTATACCCCACGCAACAAGTTGCGTGAGGTATAATGTTTTTGACCCGTCCATCAGTCAGTGTGTCAGTCAGTCAGTCCATCAGTCCTGCTTTTTTTTGTCAGCGCAACTCCTCATAAACTGCTGCACAGAATTTCGTCAAACTTTGCTGATATTTAGCACACAATGTGTAGATGTGCATATAACCAGGAAATTTCGATTCCTTTATTTTTTCTGGGAATTTTGGCACTTTTCAACTTAGATTTTTGGCCGTATCTTGAATATAGAGATGAACATATTGTCAGCGCAACTCCTCATAAACCGCTGCACAGAATTTCATCAAACTTTGCAGATATTTAGCACACAATGTGTAGATGTGCATATTACCAGGAAATTCCGATTCCTTTATTTTTTCTGGGAATTTTGGCACTTTTCAACTTAGATTTTTGGCCGTATCTTGAATATAGAGATGAATAGTTTGTCAGCGCAACTCCTCTTAAACCGCTGCACAGAATTTCGTCAAACTTTGCAGATATTTAGCACACAATGTGTAAATGTGCATATTACTAGGATATTCAGATTCCGTTATTTTTCTGGGAAGTTCGGCACTTTTCAACTTAGATTTTTGGCCATATCTTGAATATAGAGATGAACAGTTTGTTAGTGCAACTCCTCTTAAACCACTGCACAGAATTTGGTTAAACTTTGCAGATATTTAGTACACAGTGTGTAGATGTGCATATACCAGGAAATTTCGATTCCATTATTTTTGCCTTGAAGGTGCTTAGACACAGATTTGAAGTTAATATTTACTCAAATTTTCTGTATAATTTAATGAGTAATTTGTTGCTTTAGCATTTCATATGAAAATTTGATAAAAATCTTATTTTATATGAAAGTTATTGAAACTTCAAATTTCTGGACACGTTTGATAGACACATCCTTGCGCCTTTCACAAATTTTAACTTTATCCTTATTACTTTAGAAAAGTATCAATTTTGTTGTTTATTAATGAAAAATATTAAAACTATAATGCAGAAATTTCAGAGAAGAAATGTAGAAAGCAAAATCCTCTCACCAGTATTGTCAGTCCGTGCTCAGTGGTGTGTGCAGAGTTTAACAATTGAACACACCGGGTGAAACTTAAACATTAACAACAACAGAGCTCGTGCCCTGTTTACGAAAACAGTTTACGTTTCACGGGTGTATTCAATTTGTTAAACTCTGTACACAACTACACAACACTGAGCACGGGTTGACAATACTTAAGTGAGTGGGTTTTGCTTTCGCACATTTTTACTCTGAATTTTCTGGATTATAGATGTAATATTATTCATTAATACACAACAAAATTGCTATTTGTCTTAAGAATTAAGTATAAAGTTAAAAATTGTGAAAGTGCAAGGATGTGGCTATCAAACGCCTCCCGAAATTCGTAGTTTGAATAATTTTTAGATTAAATAAGTTTTTAATTTTATTTTCGTGTGAAATGCTATAGCAACATATAAGTTGTGATATTATACAGAAAATTTGAGAAAATATAAGCTTCAAATCTGTGTCTATGCACCTTTAAGAGTTTTGCCTATTATTGAAGAAACTTTCAAGCTAGGTAATAAGGAAATCCACTGGAATCAGCTTTTATAATGAAATTTTATGTGAAATGTTTTATGACCTTAAAAGACCCCTATTGATTTTGAGATCAAAATATTAATGATTTAACACACACACACACACACACACACAAAATCTTTGATAGCCCCCCCCCCCCCTCAAATTGGTGCTTTGCCTTAAATAATTTCATAAGTACAGTATATAAACAAATTCATATGACTACATCATAATTTTGTTTCCATCAATTATTTAAATGTGTAAATTGTCATGTGTTGGACATGGACATACACTCATTAACAAATCGAAATCACTGAGGAATTTAAAAAGCAGTTTGTCAGCATAACTCCTGCACTGAATTTCCTGAAACTTAGTAGGTATTTCAGACATAATGTATAGATTTGTATATTACCAAGAAATTTTGACTCCATTCTTTATCTAAAAACTTAATTAAATTTGTAACATACAAAGATCTGAATGTCCTTATATGCAAGAAGTTTTGATGTGATGATTTTTTGCAAGTAATGCCCCTTTCTGAATTATACCGTGTTTTTAAACTGCACTGTGCCATTCATTACGTGTTGTATTGTCGAATTTTGGGGGAGCGTGGGGTATGTGAGCTTGCTCACTTTTTCTTTCATTTTTTTAAAAAATATTTCTTCCTCTCTTCCCCTGGGTAATTAGCAGACTAACAAATTGCATGGTTATGATGAGCAAGAATCACTCTTCTAGAATTGTGAAATTCATGACCCTTGGGTCGGGGGTTTTGATGTCATGGCAGGGCTCTTTTGAATATGTAATGAAAATGCATTATTTCTTTGAAAATCTTCTTCTCTGGGCCTTGGTTTTAGCTCACCTGAGCTGAAAGCTCAAGTGAGCTTTTTTGATAACCTGTTGTCCGTCGTCTGTCTGTCCGTCCGTCTGTAAACTTTTCATTTTCAACTTCTTCTCAAGAACCACTGAGCCAATTTTAACCAAACTTGGTACAAAGTATCCTTGGGTGAAGGGGAGTTTGAATTGTTAAAATGAAGGGCCAAGTCCCCTTACAAGGGGAGATAATCAAGAAAAGACAAAATGGGGTCATTAAAAATTCTTCTTCTCAAGAACCACTGGGCCAAAAATGCTGAAACTTATGTGGAAGCATTCTGGGATAGTGTAGATTCTAAATTGTTCAAATCATGACCCCCGGGAGTAGGGCAGGGCCACAGTAGGGAATCCAAGTTTTACATTGAAATATATTGGAGAAATCTTTAAAAATCTTCTTCTCAAGAACCACAGGGCCAGAAAAGCTGAAACTTATGTGGAAGCATCCTCAGGTAGTGTAGATTCTAAATTGTTCAAGTCATGACCCCCAGGGGTAGGGTGGGGCCACAATAGGTATTAGGAGGGGGGAAATCTGGTAAAGAACAGCATGGCCAAAGTTACTCAGGTGAGCGATGTGGCCCATGGGCCTCTTGTTTGATAGTAGATAAACTAAGTGCATGGTTACAATGAGCAAGGGTGCCTCCCTAGGGGTTTTGGTTTAAGGATGGGGCTGTGTTGAATCTATAATGGAAATGCATTATTTTTTTGAAAATTTTCTTCTCTGCTCCTGGGCATCTAGGAGGCAAACAGAGTACTGTACAAAGATTTAATAAGCAATAGAATTTTTACAGAATTTTGAAATTTTGAACCACTTGGTCAAGTCTTCAGAGAAAAATTATTCCCCTTGGCTATTCATAATTAATCAGATAATGTCACTGTAGATAATGTCACTGAAAGATCAATTGAATAAGGGAATTATGCAACAATTTTTATAGTATATAATACAAAAAGTACTATCATTGATTTTAATGGTGAGATGGACTTGTAAATAATAGATATATTATATGAGACAAAAATACCTTATCATTGTAATTGGGTACCTTAAATATTCTTCAAAGACTATGTAAGAGGGAAGGAGTTTGATTTAAAATAATACTGCTTGAGTACCATTGTTTTGTTTAGTCTGAATGGTGATCAAGATTTGTTACTGAGAACTAGAGAAATTATTTCATTTATCCCTTATCATCATTTTTCTCTCTTGTGCAACATAGTTTCATCTATCAGTTTATTTTGTTTTATTTTATACTTCTGTGGATCCTTTACAGTATTGTATTATACTCAGGTGAGTGTTAAGGCCCTTGGGCCTCTTGTTTATGTTTTATTTTTTAAAATTTATTTGTTTCATTTAGATGTTTGTTTCTTATTTTTTTTCTGTTCTCTGATTTATTTATTTATTTATTTATTTATTTATATAAACTCTATTTTTCTACTTAAAGATTTTGTTTTATCATTGTCATACACTGTATGTCATAAATATATACAAATCTTACAGAGAAAGATGACAGGGAGGACAAAGAAGCCACACCTACTCCCCAGAAAGAGGAGGAAAGTGCAAAAGCCTGAACCGCTAGCTGTCACTCACTGTAAGTATTCTTCTTGAGTTTACAAAGTAAGGGTTATCTCTCTTTGTACAGATTTGACATATTAGCATCATCTATAAGTTTTATATATTATGCCCATGCATTGTCACCTCTATTCTACTGAAGTCTGTTTGTTGTAAATTTTTCTTTTGATACATATACTGTGATACAGTTGATAACATTTGGTCTAATATATAATAAATATTACATGCTAGCAAGGCTTTGCCTCTGTCAACAATGGTTTTCTTGGGGTGACAATTTCCAATGTTACCATAGCTAGCATGCAATATTTATACAATATTTTAAGTCTAATATAGTGCAAGGTTTTGCTTGTGTTCTTTTTTTAATATATGACATGAATCTAATTTTATTTTATAATTACAATACTGCATACAGGAAAATTTTTGCCTGTGTTTTATTTTAGACCCCTTCACCCTAGACACAATTGGTGAATTTAAGACAGGGTGAATGATAAGAAAGCAGTATGATATCTTAAACAGAACTGGGACTGGGCAAATTTAAAACGGGGCAAAATTGTTTGCAAGTGTGAAAGGGCAAAAAAAACACAGGACGAAAATAACCCTGTATACAGTAGAATTATATTAATATTATTATTAATATTATTTTTTTTTTGTAGATTCAGATTTGATGACAGGACAGCAGTCATTTTCGTCAACCATCCTACAGGTGGTTATTAAGCAACATTGGGAGAAATTATAGTTTATAAGAAAAAATATAACCTTCATTAGCAAATAGAATTAGAAAAGTGTCAATTTAAGGGTATGTTTGTCAACAATACTAGAAATTGTAAAATGTAAGTTTTTATTCTCCGTTTCATAGAAGTAATAGGTACATATGTATTATTAAACTACATTTTAGATATGTACGTAATCTTTATGGAGAAGGTTAAAACTTTTGTGTAAGTTTGTATCACTGCTGAAAATCACAAAGAGGTGTTATATATAATCAGTATAGCAGAAAAATAACATGTACTTGTGCATATGTAGTTGACTGTTAAAAAAACTAAATATAAGCCCTTTTTTGCTAATGTATCTCAGCTCTGTTATAAAACAATGTCATTCATGTTTTAAATCTGTACACTTAATTGCATAGTGTATGGTTTGAATTTAAGAAAATGTTTAAGCTTACTTTCATTTATGCAAAAGAGAAAGAAGGCATTGTCCATTTAAAAGAAAATGTCTTAGAGAATATTTAACAGGTTTCAGATTTTGTTATTAATTTTTTTTTTGGTGCTTTACCTAGACTGCCAATAATAATAAGATTCCATTAGGCCTTTACTTCTGGGTGTTATTTTCTTCAGTTTTTAGTGTAGAGCTTTACTTGATGTCTACATACATGTATTAACTTTATGGTATGCTTATAAATGTGAAGGAGAGAACTGGCATATTTTCTTTTACATGCCGAGATTTTTTTTTCATATTTTTTTAATAGAATACATGTATATTTGAAATTAAATGTTTGTCAGAAACATTGATCAAGGACGATGGAAAAACAATGAATTGATATATGAAAATAGACCAGGGAAGTACCTAATGAGAAATGTATTAAATACATGTACATGTAAATGAGAATAGATTTGATGAATTTCCTGATTGGTGCCAAGATGTAAATGTTTGTGAAAAACATGCTTTTTTAATCTGATCTTTTGAAGCTACTCATTGTGTGTTTGATGAGGTGTTTGATAAATGTCACAAGTGACGTGAACAAAGTAAATAAGTATTGGTGCTTTTATTGCATATCAGTTTTAAAAGATGATCAGGATTAACTTTCTTAAAGTCAATAAATTATTCAACCTTGATGAAAATATTTTTTATTTTAATTCACTGAATTTTTAATTTAAAATAGTTATCCCTGATTATTATTTATTGAAAATATTGTTAGTAATATATTTTATTTTATCATGTGATAATGATTTCTGTGTATTTATTCCCTCCATTCTGTTGTATGTCAGATATAAAGATTCAATTCATGTACAAGAATCAACAAATTCAGTTCAGATTTGGACCGTTTTCTTGTGTTTTGTTGGTGTGTTTATTTATGAAGAATGACAGTTTTTGTTTTGTACATTATTAACTTTTATTATACTTGTTTTATATTTAAATTAATAATATATACATGTACTTGCGTATGAAAAAAAACAACAACAAAAAAGTGTAAAATGTATTTAAAAAAAACAAACCAAAAATAGGTATGTATGAACATAAGGAGTTAAGCATTAATTTACATTTCTATGAGTTTGAAAATGATAGTGGCTGACCAATACACGTTATATTTCCGTTGTAAATTTAAACTAACATAAGGTTTGAAGATAAATTCCCAGTAACAAATTTGAATCCTTTTGGCAACATCTGATTAAAAGGGTGATAAAGTTTATATAGATTAAACACAATTTGGTCTTACCGTGGGAAACATTCCCAATTTTTGCATTGCTTTCATTTTTGTAAGAATTTAGGTTTGCTGTCATGCATTTAGTTGTACGAGTTGGAAAACTACAGACAATATTTAATCGCATGATCAAACTTGCCATATGAGATTCATATTAATGATTATTTTAAAATAAAAATTCTGACAGCATCACATGATTGTTTAGTCTTTGTGGTTTGAAACTTAACAAATTATTTTACAAGTCCATGGGATCTAATGAAGACTGTTGGTTCCTGTTTTATGTACGTTATATCTCAATTGACATGATGGTGTTTGGTAATTTTTATATGCATTTATAAATGACTATAGTCAGTAGTAATCAAAATATAGTGATCTATAATTATATGTAATCAAAATATGATTTAATCTTGCGTACATTCATACTCTCATTATATATTTCCTTGACGTTAAAATCAAATTTTAAATTCATATATTAATATACCCACACTCATCGAACGACATCATAAGTTTCTGGACTTTCAACCCATAAAATTAAAGAAGAATCCATGCGTTGTAATTAATTAATAGTAACAAAAATTCTACTTTGACTGGTTTGTAACAGGCAGAAAGTTTTTAGATTTTTGTTAAGGACATAATATTTTAATGGTGAATTATTGAAAACTAAAGAGAATGTTGCAGAAACTCGCGATTATTCCCTAAATCGAGAACACAGGCACTTGTTTCTGTAATAAATTTTTGACCCATAGTATAATAATAACACAAGGTATCCATCTCCGAATTACACGGAGTACCCCCTCCTTCAGAATCTCATTTACTATTTCAGAGGACATGCACTGGCAAACTGTTTATACCTGTGTCTTCTACAATAATTTATCTACACAACCAAATATGGCATGCTTGTCTTTATTTTCTTTTATCTCCGTAAACAGCGTCAAACTCTGCTCGCCGAGTGGAGAAGTCGAATTAAACTAATGAAATGGTATGTGCTAATCCCGGGCAGAGTGGGTTTAAAAATTCAATTCCAGTGTTTACATATTGCAGTGAATAAATAAAATTTGTTTACCTCTCATTTTCCATAAAAATACTACGATATTTTTCCGATGTAATTTTAGAAACAGATTTTAAGCCAATCAAATTAAAATCTCTGCCCGGGATTAGCACATACCATTCCATGGTTGAGTTCGACGTTTGCACTCGGCGAGCAACGTTATGACGCTGTTTACGGAGATAAAAGAAAATAAAGACAAACATGCCATATATGGTTGTGTAGATAAATTATCGTAGAAGACGTGGGTATAAACAGTTTGCCAGTGCATTTCCTAGGAAAGTGTAAATGAGTGCGATTCTGGGGGAGGAGGTACTCCATCGTGTCCATGCAATTCGGAGTTGGATACCTTGTGTTTTTATTATACTATGGGTCAAAAATTTATTACAGAAACAAGTGCCTGTGGTTTGGAGGTGGATAAAATATACAGGCTGGTTATAAAATATGTCTAGAATTAGGGAACGAAAGGTCGTTGATTGACAAATGCTGAAGAGTGGCGAAATACACCCCCAAAGTGCGCAGAAAATCTTGCGCCGTAAATTGCACAATATTTGCATTACGTACGGTATCTTTAGCGTTATGGTCAAAGACTAAAATATAAAACCATAAAGCTACAGTACTGCATATATTCCTAATATAGACTGGCGACTAGGGCTGGGACGAGATATCGATAATATCGATTCAATGTCAGGATGATACGCATATCGATATGTGTGAAGAAATATCGCAAAAAAAATTGACATGTTTTTCTTTGTCTACTTAACATTTTTTGGGTTAAATATATAAAATAAATATGCTAAAAATGAATATAAATATGAAATATATAATAATTAACACCACTTTTGTAAAATTATTTTGTTTTACAACAGATATACAACTTCTTTGAATAAATTATTCTTATTTGTGAAGAATTGTTTTGTTCATTTCAATACAAAAAAAATTATAACCAATTCAACATTTTGTGATACATATCGTATCGTGGCTCATATATCGTGATACATATCGATATAGAAAAAGTTGTTTCGTCCCAGTCCTACTTGCGACCTGTTAGTAAACTTTTTTCACATCTATGGTCACTGTCGCCATATTGCAGTAAAGTTAGAACGATAAAAAGCACAATTAATGGCAAGTGCACCTCGCACATCATTTTGAAAAATGTACTGTATAGACAGCGTGCGTTAATATTTACAATATACATGTATAAAAATGTGTCCAATAATCACACTGTTGATGCAATATCCAAGAAATTCCATTGAGTCATTTCAATTTAGTTGTTTCAAGTCAAATCTGAGACACTAATTAACAGAACAATAATGAAACGAAATGAGTATGAAAAAATTAATTTATTTAAAATGATTTGTACTTTATTTTTTAAGATATCGCCACTAAATAATAACATTAAATGTAAGTCTTAGTTTCAGATCACCATATCAAGGAAAAACAATTCAATTCTGCATGCATTTAAAATATTACCCATTACGCTGTAACTGTCTGACATTCTTCTCTCTCTTTCTCTCTCAAGAGAGATGTAATACATTTTACTTCCATTATATAAGAAAAAAATATGTATATACCAGCCATTCCAGGATTAGAACCCATTCTCAGGTAAAAATCCACACACTTTACCACTAGACCAGCTCCGACACTGAAGTATCACCTGCTATTTTATGTGCACATTTTGCATTTCGGATGGATAATAATTTCTATTCGATTGTTGTGATTTTCAAAAATATGCCTCTCTGAAACAAAAATCGGATATGGCAGTTTTGAAGAAAAAATCTGCCTCTCTATATATATGCGTATATCAAATTCATTCTGTTTCAAGGAGGCAATTTTTCAGAATAATGGAGATTCCCTATTTGAAAAACAAAAAAAAAAACTTGACTTATTTTGCTATGTGACTAATTAACACTTCATTTAATAGTAAATCTGATAGTCGATATGCAGTTTCTAAATATTGTTCTACATTGTGTTGTATATATCGTTGTATCTGATAAAAATTAAGACCGTTTTCTGTTACTTAAAATTTTTCTTTTAAACCTTAAACTTTTAGAAAGATAACATTCTGTCTAATCGTATCGTAAATGCACTTATGGCTTCAAAATTATATCAGTATTGGAGTAAGGACTGGCTGTATTTTAATCAACCTTCCCCCTTTTTAGCTCTACTGGTCAGAGACCAAAAGAGCTTATGGGTCATTCTCCCAAAAGGGGTTAATAGCAGCACGATGGCTTTTTAAAATTAACAATTAAAATAACAAATATTTCTTTTTTGGTATTTGTTGTCTTTTGACCGCTTGGGAAAAAAATAATGTTGGCACGATCTATAACGTAAAATAACGTCATAATTTAACGTCAAAAATTACGTTTGTAACGGGAGAAAGTCAATACCGTTACGGACAATATTTATTTGAACTGAGTATAATTCAATAACGAGCTCTAGAAATAATGTCTTTTCTTTGCATAAGGGTTATTTTCATTCTAGAAAATAAATATAGTCCTCAGTTTTATGGTTTTGATCATTATATTCACCGTTTATTTTTGGAACGGTATAGACATATCTGAAAAAAGACACACAATAGCATTTCAAATTCAAATTTATTTCAAAAGGAGGAAACACTAAACAATACAATGAACATTTTTTATGTTGTGTTGAATATTTAACATAAATGGAATAAGAAGAAAATGTTTTTCAGTCTTAGCTTGTAAGAAATATATAAAAAAAAAAAGTCATGTAACGGCAACGACAGAACAATAAATTGTAACGGAAAAGACATCTACTTATAATTATACCTCTCAAGTTATGACACCTAATACATTTACAGATCAAGCTCCTCGGTAATTTTCAACCAAATGTCAGGGCGAATTTGTATGTGACGTTTTGTCACATGTTCTGGTTCTGGTATAAAGACTAAAACGTGCTCGTACTCGTACCAGATAACGTCTTCCAGCAAAGGCCAGAAAAAGCGATTGTTACCAATTTTATGCATTGCCTTCACTTCTACAGAGTCATGGTCTATGTCTTGAATAACTCCTGGGTACGGCATATTGTCATAAACCACTACACACCATTTTCCAATTATGTCTACATCAGCGGTACCCTGTGTTAGCGGATAGAAATGTATATCCTGCATATTACGATTTTCTCTCTCTGATAGAGAGGTTTCAGTGACACCCTGCTGTACTCTCTCATTAACTGGAAAGACAATCAAAGGTGAAGATACAAGAGTAGCATCTTTTGCATTGAAACAAGCGCAGTCAAGAGATTTTGTATAAAAACAGGATAAATGTCTAGTTCTTAAAGTATTTGGATTAGAGGTTGAGCGCTGACTGACAACCTGATGAATCGTCATAGTGCCTGGTATAGGCTTAAGTGGAACAGAAGAAGCTTTGTCCATATTGAGAATGGAATCATCTGTGATCATGTGGAGATCTACTGCAACATCAGCCTTTTTCATTGCATGAAAAAACTCATTTGCATCAGCAATGTCATTGCCGTATGAGACTAATTTATCTGCTGTTCGCTTTATCAGACCCCCAACCCCATCAGGCGCCCCCTTTCCATGTCCTGCTTCTGAAAAATTCCAAGTTACCTTTTCGAACCCATAAGAATTGTGTACAACTTCTTTCATCAGAGAGAAATTTTTTCTTGAACGATACTGTGTAGTTGGGCCATCAGACAAAAAATGAATTGTATCAATTTCAGGGTTGGTCTCTCTTACGTTGCTTAAGATCGGTGACAAATGGGCCCATATTGCCCCTTGGTCATGTCGAGTGTTCCCCGATATAGTACAAAATGATAAAGGGTCATTATCTTTCTTGTACAAAACACCGGTATGCAAACTTACTTGATTCCTGGAGGCACCAAAATGCATTCCTTGAATTTCGGATTCTAGTTTGCAAGCATAATTTTCCGAAAAATCTACATGAATAAGACACTCGTTATTCAGTAAATTTTCTTTCAATGATCTAACTTGTTCATACTGGTGTCTTATGTTATAAAGATGCCTACAAACTTTAGAAATCATTAGCTTGTTCATTTCATCTAACAAATTCTCTAACGTAAAGAAGACTCTCTCTTTCACTGTGACGTGCACACTAAATTTCCTTTTCTCTCCATTAGGTTTCACGCATTCTCTCTCTTCATG